CCTTCTAATTCTGTTGTACATATGTTAATTCCCCTTACTATACACTCAAGCGCTGCATTTTTTGCTGTATTTTATTTTCCATGAAGAGGTTATACGAGGTTTACCTTTATGCTAGCGGCTTGAATCTGTCAGATCCAGCGCTCGTTTTTATCCTATTTACCACAATCACTTTATCTGGTCTCCCACAGTGCACAGAATATGGAAGTGCAATTATTTTAGTAAATACAAACTGCTAAATACCTTTTCTCATCAGCAGTATATAGTAGTCTTGTGACTTCAGCTGAGCGCTGGTTAAAGCAGGTAAGAGGAGTATTCTTTCTGCTCTAGGAGGATGCAGAACCCCTGACCTCTGTCTGGACACATGCACTCTCCCAAAAAAAAAAACCTCTCTAACAATACACACCAAACTGAGCATGTGCAGAAGGGCGACAGATTCAGTCTGTCTTATCAGCGTGGACATTTGAACAACAGGAGAAGCAGAGAAGACAGGATCAAACAGCCTTTTTACACAATGCAGAGGATTAACTCCGTAGGTTCCACAGTGAATATAACAAGCATGCTTTACTGCATATACAGACTGATTTTACTGTTGTGGGTTTAGTAACACTTTAAGCAATCGCATTCAAAATCATGTTAAATTGGAGTCCGTACACACCTGCCATCATTAAAAGTGCCTCTGATTAAACCCAAATAAAGTTCAGCTGTTCATATAGGTCTTTCCTGACATTTACTTAGTCGCATCCTACAGCAAAAGCCATGGTCCGCAGAGAGCTTCCACTGCATCAGAGGGATCGCATTGTTAAAAGGTATCAGTCAGGAGAAGAGTACAAAAGAATTTCCAAGGCATTAGATATACCATGGAACACAGTGAAGACAGTTATCATCAAGCGGAGAAAATATGGCGCAACAATGACATTACCAAGAACTGGACATCCTTCCAAAATTGATGAAAAGACGAGAAGAAAACTGGTCTGGGAGGATGCAAAGAGGCCTACAACAACATTAACCACTTGCCCCCTGGAGGATTTACCCCCTTCCTGGCCATTTTTTGTGTTATGGTGCTGCGTTACTTTAACTGATAATTGTGCGGTCATGCAACGCTGCACCCAAATGAAATTTACGTCCTTTTTTTCCCCACGAATAGAGCGTTCTTTCGGTGGTATTTAATTGCCTGTGCTGGTTTTATTTTTTGCGCTATAAAAAAAGACCGTCAATTTTGAGAAAAAAAAACAATATTTTTTACTTTTTGCTATTAAACATGTCCAGTAAAAAAATTAAAAATCAAATTTTGTCATAAATTTAGGCCAAAATGTATTCTGCTACATGTCTTTGCTAAAAAAAAAATCCCAATTTTTTTCTAAATTTTTACTAGCAATGGTGGTGATCAGTGACTTATATTGGGACTGCGGTGGGCATTCTGACACTGGGGGGAAATGACTTGGTGTCACTGACATCTCCAGTGACACCAATACAGTGATCAGTGCTAATAAAAAGCACTGACACTATACTAATGGCACTGGGCAGGAAGGGGTTAACATCTGGGGAGCTCAAAGGGTTAACTGTGTGCTGTGTCTCATTTTACATTATGTTCTGTGTGTGCTTCACTGTAAGCACACAGCTTTGTATGCCTGTGCTGCCAGGGAGGAGAACTGTTTTGTTAACTAACAGTTCTCTCCCCCCCCCCCCCATCCCCCCGTTGAAGAACCTTGGCAATCATATATATATATATATAATATACAGTTGTGTTCAAAATAATAGCAGTGTGTTGAAAAAAGTGAATAAAGCTCCAAATCCTTCTAATAGCTTTTCTTTCTATACACACAAATGCATTGGGAACACTACACATTCTATTCCAAATCAAAACATGAAGAAAAATAGATCAAATTTGTGTTCCTCAAAAAAAAAAATTGAAGAAAAGTGAATATTAGACTGTTCAAAAAAATAGCAGTGTTTGTATTCTTCTTTACAAACTCAAACATTCACTATATAAACTGAAAAATGTTTGAAGATTTTGCTTTCCTTTGAATCACTTAATGAATATTTAGTTGTATAAGCACTGTTTCTGAGAACTGCTGTACATCTGTGTTGCATGGAGTCATCCAACTTCTGGCACCTGTGATCAGGTATTCCAGCCCAGGATGATTGGACTACATTCCACAGTTCTTCTCTATTTCTTGGTTTTGCCTCAGAAACTGCATTTTTGATGTCACCCCACAAGTTTTCTATTGGATTAAGATCCGGGGATTGGGCTGGCCACTCCATAACGTCAATCTTGTTGGTCTGGAACCAAGATGTTGCACGTTTACTGGTGTGTTTGGGGTTGTTGTCTTGTTGGAACACCCATTTCAAGGGCATTTCCTCTTCAACATAATGCAGCATGACCTCTTCAAGTATTCTGATGTATTCAAACTGATCCCTGATATGTGATAAATAGACCCAACACCGTAGTATGAGAAACATCCCCATATCATGATGCTTGCACCACCATGCTTCACTGTCTTCACAGTGTACTGTGGCTTGAATTCAGTGTTTGGGGGGTCGTCTGACAAACTGTCTCCGGCCACTAGACCCAAAAAGAACAATCTTACTTTCATCAGTCCACAATATGTTGCGCCATTTCTCTTTAGGCCAGTCAATGTGCTCTTTGGCAAATTGTAACCTCTTCAGCACATGTCTTTTTTTCAACAGTGGGACTTTGCGGGGGCTTCTTGCAGATAGCTTGGCTTCACATAGGCGTCTTCTAATTGTAACAGTACTCACAGGGAACTTTACACCTTCTTTGATCTTCCTGGGCTGATTGTTGGCTGAGTCCTTGCCATTTTGGCTATTCTTCTATCCATTCGAATGGTAGTTTTTCGCTTTCTTCCACATCTTTCAGGTTTTGGTTGCCATTTTAAAGCATTTGCGATCATTTTAGCTGAGCAGCCTATCATTTTCTGCACTTCTTTATATGTTTTCCCCTCTCCAATCAACTTTTTAATCAAGGTACGCTGTTCTTCTGAACAATGTCTGGAACGACCCATTTTCCTCAGAATTTCAGAGAGAAATGCACTGTAACCAGCATGTACAACATTTGCTGCCTTCCTTCCTTAAATAAGGGCAATAATTGCCACCTGTTTTTCAAAGAATGAATGACCTCACTAATAGAACTCCACACTGCTATTATTTTGAACATGCCCCTTTCAATTAGTGATTCAATTACACAGAATCAGCAGCATGCATGTCATGACTGTTGGGTCTGTTGGATTTTCTATTACTCTACTACACCTGATAGTAAATTATTTGCCATGTAGAAATATCATTTCTACCAAAAACAGTGATTGATCAGGTTAGTGATCTCTGACTGCTATTATTTTGAACACAACTGTGTGTGTGTATGTATGTATATATATATATATATATATATATATATACACACATGATTTTGCGCACAGCTGCCACCCTGTAGCAGTATTTCTACTATGGGGTGGAGATAAAGCGGTTAAAGGAGCTGCAGGAATATCTGACAAGTACTGGCTGTGTGGTACATGTGACAACAATCTCCCATATTCTTCATGTGTCTGGGCTGTGGGGTACCGTGGCAAGATGGAAGCCTTTTCTTACAAAGTAAAACATCCAAGCCTGGCTAAATTTTGCAAAAACACATCTGAAGTCTCCCAAAATCATGTGGGAAAACATGTTATGGTCTGATGAAACCAAGGTTGAACTTTGTGGCCATAATTTCCAAAAATATGTTTGGCACAAAAACAACACTGCACATCACCAAAAGAACACCATACCCACAGTGAAGCATGGTGGTGGCAGCATCATGCTTTGGGCTGTTTTTCTTCAGCTGGTACTGGGGCCTTTGTCAAGGTAGAGGGAATTATGAACAGTTCCAAATACCACTCAATATTGGCACAAAACCTTCAGGCTTCTGCTAGAAATCTGAACATGAAGAGGAACTTCATCTCTCAGCATGACAACGACCCAAAGCATACATCCAAATCAACAAAGGAATGGCTTCACCAGAAGATGAAAGTTTTGGAATGGCCCAGCCAGAGCCCAGACCTGAATCTGATGGAATATCTGTGGGGTGATCTGAAGAGGGCTGTGCACAGGAGGTACCGTTGCAATCTGACAGATTTGGAGTGGTTTTGCAAGGAAGAGTGGGCAAATATTACTAAGTCAAGATGTGCCATGCTGATAGACTCATATCCAAAAATACTGAGTGCTGGAATCAAATCAAAAGGTGCTTCAACAAAGGATTAGTTTAAGGGTGTGCACACTTATGCAACCATATTATTTTAGTTTTTTTTCTTCCCTCCACCTAAAAGATTTCAGTTTGTTGTTCAACTGAGTTGTACAGTTTATAGGCCACATTAAAGGTGGAAAAAGTTCTGAAATTATTTATCTTTGTCTAATTTTTTTACATCACAGAAACCTGACATTTTAACAGGGGTGTGTAGACTTTTTATATCCAGTGTAGGTGCTGCACAGACATGGCTGCTCCTCCCAATGAGACATCCATGCAGGTGCACATAGCTCTCTGTGGGCATACAGATAGATAGATATATCTATCTATATATATATATGAAGTTCCTCTTCATGTTCAGCATTCTAGCAGAAGCCTGAAGATTTTTTGTCAATATTAACTGGTATTTGGAACTGTTATATATATACATAATTTGCCTGGAGTCCGGCTTTATTGTGCACTCCCTGGATTCACTTCTCCCTGCCTGAGAGACCCTGCATTAGATTGGCAGAGCATGTAGTCACACACTCCTATCAATGATCTTTATTTATAAATCCTAGAACTGAACAAACCACATGACTCCCCCAGAGTGCAGACTACTATCTGCGGCTGTACTCTCACTATATCGCCTCTCTGCTGACATTCTGAGCTCTTATGTGACATCAGCACATTTATTCTGTACAGACTTTCTCCTGTGTTTCGTCACCATAACAACCGCTGACAGCCCGCACTTCCGCCTCGGCTTCAGGGAGCTTCCGGTGAGAGTAGCAAGATGGCGGCGCCCATATGTCTGCAGCTGGAGTTTGGGTGAGCAGGGAGTTTAGGTGGTCGGGGTGCTGTGGGGGGATATTAGAGATGTATAGAGTGAGCTTTGTGCGAGGGGGAGGCTGGAGACTGTCATTCATTACTATGGACATCAGACAGGATGCGTGCAGGCTGGTGTACCGCACTCCTCTGCAGGAACACACACATATCCAGTATATATACTCTAGAGGAGGTCTGGAGAGGACAGGAGGCCCTGGTATTATTACAGCACCTGTGTCCCAGAAGAGCCTTCCATGGGATGGGATCAATGAGGGGACAGACAATGGACATTCAGTATTCTACATGTTCTTATAGATTATGAGTAAAATCAAATATCAATCAGTTCCTCATGTTTTGGTTCTTTAACCACTTACTGTCTAGGTCTCTCACAAATTCTGCGTTTTTGTTTTGCTAAAAAGTGACTTCTAACCCCCCAAACATGATACGTAGAGGCCCTGGAAAATGAAACGGTGGTTGTAGCAATTTTATATGTTGCATGATCATTGTGCAACCATTTTTCAAATGCAGTTTTTCCGGAAAAAAATACAAACAATGAATTTTAATGCTCACCAACACAATATAATACCCATTTTTTGTAAAATATAAAGACATGATGTGTCAAGTAAATAGATACCAAGCATGTCAAGATTTAAAATTGCGCATGCCTGTGAAATGGCGACAAACTACGGTACCTAAAATTGTCCATAGGCGACTCTTTAAATTTCTGTTCGCCCTATAGCAGATATACTGCTACAGGGTGGACGTTCTGTGCAAAATCACATATAAACATGATTTTGCACTTCTGCCATAGGGGGGCATGTGTGCTTGCCGCCGGAGTGCTGCTTCTGCTGTGATTGGACACAGCAGAAGCCGATCAACAGGTGCCGACCAATGGATGAGCTCCGGCAGCCTTTGATCGTCCAGGAGAGTGACAGGATACATCTCTGCCTATGTAAACAAGGTCAGCGGCGATCTGCTAGATTTTCTTTCCTTGCAAAGCAGGAAATAAAATCTAGCACATTACCTGGTGAAAACAGCATGCCCAGTACACAAATCACATAGCTAGGCATACAGTTAATCCATTGATCGCCCCAGATTTTTAACCCCTTCCAAGCCAGCATCATTAATGCAGTGACCGTGTATATTTTTAGCACTTATCACTGTATTAGTGTCACTGGTTCCCACACAGTGTCAGTTAGCGTCAGACTGTCTGCCGCCATATCGCAGTCACTAATTGCCGCCATTGCTAGTATAAAAAAAAAATCCAGTATATATATCAAAGTTTGTAGACGCTATAACTATTGCGCAAACCAATCTATATACACTTATTGGGATTTTTTACCAAAAATATGTAGAAGAATACATGTTGGCCTAAATTTATGAAGAAATTTGATTTTTGATTGGATATGTTTTATAGCAGAAAGTAAAAAATATTGTTTTTTTTGTTTTTTTTATTTTGGTCTTCTTTTGTTTATTAACAAAATACCAAAACTAAAAAAACCCAGTGATGATCAAACACCACCAAAAGAAAGCTCTGTTTGTGGGAAAAAATGATATACATTTCATTTATGTACAGTGATGCATAACCGCGCAATTGTCAGTTATGCACATAGTAATGCAGCGTCATAAAGAAAAAATGACCTGGTCAGGAAGGGGCAAAACAACCCCAAAACATCATTGAACCTCCACCATATTTTACCGTAAGGTTACTGTGTTTTGTTCTTTGTATGCCTCATTTCACGTTTTTCGGTCTAAACAGTAAGAATGATGTCTTTACCGAAAAGCTCTATCTTGGTCTCATCTGTCCACAAGGACGTTTTTCCCCAGAAGGCTTTTGGCTAAATCTTCCGGAGGTCAAGTGGTTAAAGGCCTTTACAGGTCATCAGTTTAGAGTGAATCATGAACTACTGCTTTCACTATTGCCCTAGAATTATTGCTCTCACTCTGACACTCACATGTGTGGCGCAAACTCTGTTTACATATGCGCCGGATCTGTTTGTATTTGCACATAGAGAAACGGGTTGGAGGTACCTTTCTTTTTTTTTTTTTTGTATTTTTTTTTTTTTTTTTATTTCTTTTACACTTTTGTTTTATTTTTATTTTATTTATTTAAAGCCCACCTCTGGGAAAAAAAAGTTTTCCTATGCAGTGGGTCCAGTGGCAATCAGCTCTCCCCCATGATCCAGCAGTGGACTGTTCCTGACGGTCTCACATTCAGAGCAGGTCTTTGGGCTTGATGACGTCAGGAACAGTCCACTGCACAAGACCCCGGGGGGAAAAGGAGCTGAAGGGACCAGTCTTGTGCAGGGAGGATCGGAAGATTAGGTAAGTATATTGCCTTTCTTCAATCCCCTGGACGAAAACAAGCAGGTAACCCTTGCAGTGTGGGCACAGCCCAGTTGCACGGGAAAATCTTTTTTTTTTTTTTTTTTGCTTGGAGTCGGGCTTTAAATGTATTGCATTCACAACAAGTGAACAAAAGCCTTTGTGATATCTTTAGGCAGTGACAGGTCCTCTTTATGAAGACATTAGGGGTCTGTTAGACCCCTGATCGCTCCTCTGCCCCCCCAAGGCAGCTGATAAAACAAAGATAGTGTTTGATCACCTGCTTTCTGTGGCTGTAACGGCATGACAGGGAATGACAGCATTGAAACCGAAAGTGACGAAACCCTCATCACTTCATTCATCACAGAGGAGATTGGGGAATGGACGTTGTTCCTCCAATCCTTCTCTGGGGAGTCTGCCTAACTGCTTGCCACCGTCCTGGGCTCCATGGTGGAATGGCAGAGCCTAGGAATGGCGGCAGTAGCAGGTGTGGGGATGGGGGAGCTCCTCAGTCCCGTAAAAGTGATTCAGTAGCTGTAAAGCCAATTGGATCTCTATTACAAGAAAGCCAATTGGCAGCTCTAAAAAAAATGGTATCAGGATCATAGCTTCAGATGGCTTGCGTTCTGGGCATTCATTCCTGAGTGCATACTCTTCCAAACATAAGTACCATTAGGTTCATTGTCCAGACACCGAAGCTGCCAGGCTGCCATTAGTGGGGCTGGGCAGTGATCCTGTGCCCGCCACATGCACTTAAACCAGCGGTTCTCAACCTGGGGGTCGAATGACCATTTCCCAGGGGTCGCCTAAGACCATCGGAAAACATATTTCCGATGGTCTTAGGAACCGAGACACCGCTGCTCTGTCTCGCGATCTGTGGGCGGGATGATATGCTGCCCCTGTAACCTGGCCACACCTCCGGGATCACTCAACAGCTCCGCCTCCTCGCCACTGATTGGCCACCGGAACTGTAGCTCAGGAGAGGCACACAGGCGGCCAATCACCGGCGAGGAGGTGGAGCTTGGACAGGAGGAGCCGAGCGGCAGAGCGCGCAGATCGAAGAAGATCGAGGGAGCTGCAGGACCGAGTGAAGAGGAGAGAGGCCAGAGAAGGAAGACAGCTGACAGGTAAGTGCAAATTTTGCTTCTGCAGGCTGTAGATGGGAGAGGGAGAGAGCGAGCCCAGGCTGGAGCAGGGGTCAGCAAGGTAAGTATCATTGGTGTCAGTGGGAGGAATAGTGCCCCATCATTTGTGTCACTAATACCAACGATGGGGCACTATTCCTCCCCCCACTGACACCAACGATGGGGCACTATTCCTCCCCCCACTGACACCAATGATAGGCACTATTCCTCCCCCCACTGACACCAACGATGGGGCACTATTCCTCCCACTGACACCAACGATGGGGCACTATTCCTCCCCCCACTGACACCAACGATGGGGCACTATTCCTCCCCCCACTGACACCAACGATGGGGCACTATTCCTCCCCCCACTGACACCAACGATGGGGCACTATTCCTCCCCCCACTGACACCAACGATGGGGCACTATTCCTCCCCCCACTGACACCAACGATGGGGCACTATTCCTCCCCCCACTGACACCAACGATGGGGCGCTATTCCTCCCCCCACTGACACCAACGATGGGGCACTATTCCTCCCCCCACTGACACCAACGATGGGGCGCTATTCCTCCCCCCACTGACACCAACGATGGGGCGCTATTCCTCCCCCCACTGACACCAACGATGGGGCGCTATTCCTCCCCCCACTGACACCAACGATGGGGCGCTATTCCTCCCCCCACTGACACCAACGATGGGGCGCTATTCCTCCCCCCACTGACACCAACGATGGGGCGCTATTCCTCCCCCCACTGACACCAACGATGGGGCGCTATTCCTCCCCCCACTGACACCAATGATGGGGCGCTATTCCTCCCCCCACTGACACCAACGATGGGGCGCTATTCCTCCCCCCACTGACACCAACGATGGGGCGCTATTCCTCCCCCCACTGACACCAACGATGGGGCGCTATTCCTCCCCCCACTGACACCAACGATGGGGCGCTATTCCTCCCCCCACTGACACCAACGATGGGGCGCTATTCCTCCCCCCACTGACACCAACGATGGGGCGCTATTCCTCCCCCCACTGACACCAACGATGGGGCGCTATTCCTCCCCCCACTGACACCAACGATGGGGCGCTATTCCTCCCCCCACTGACACCAACGATGGGGCGCTATTCCTCCCCCCACTGACACCAACGATGGGGCGCTATTCCTCCCCCCACTGACACCAACGATGGGGCGCTATTCCTCCCCCCACTGACACCAACGATGGGGCGCTATTCCTCCCCCCACTGACACCAACGATGGGGCGCTATTCCTCCCCCCACTGACACCAACGATGGGGCGCTATTCCTCCCCCCACTGACACCAACGATGGGGCGCTATTCCTCCCCCCACTGACACCAACGATGGGGCGCTATTCCTCCCCCCACTGACACCAACGATGGGGCGCTATTCCTCCCCCCACTGACACCAACGATGGGGCGCTATTCCTCCCCCCACTGACACCAACGATGGGGCGCTATTCCTCCCCCCACTGACACCAACGATGGGGCGCTATTCCTCCCCCCACTGACACCAACGATGGGGCGCTATT